GTTGTTTACAGATTGTGGGTTCCAGCTGTTGTTGCAAAACCTCTGACTGGAAGGACACTCCAGGGCTGAGTGGGGGGAGTGGGGTGGGGGCTCAGTCCTCCTCCCTGCCCCCTGCCCATCCTCAGGGACTGTCCTCTCAGGGGCAGTATGGTGCAGGGGTCACAGAGGGGGAGAGACCCCAGTCTGCTCTTGGTGCAATGTCTTTAAGGAGATAACACCCTGCACCCTCCCTGATGAGGAGGAACGAGGCTGGGTTCCCCTTCCCCCAGCTGGGTCACTGCCCAACCAGCAGATGGGGCCGGTGGGAGCTGCCAGCCCCTCCATCATTATAAAAGCCCCCCTCCAGCACCCTGCCTGGTCAGTATCGTGGAGACAGCGGCAATATGGTGGACATCTCCGTGTACCTGGTGGCTCTGGTCCTCCTAGGAGCTGCAGTGTGTGGTAAGTGGACCTGGACAGGGACCCCAACTTTAGGAGGATCAACTAAACAGGATCACCCCTCGTCCCACCAGGTGTACAGAAATGGGGGTGCAGAGCCATGGGAATGTTGTGGTGTACCATCAAGTCAAGTTTAACTTTTAATGACAGAGTAGAACTGCCCCATAGGGTTTCCTAGACCGCACGGTTGGCAGTTCAAACCCACCAGCTGCTCCTTGGAAACTAACTACACAGGATCACTGTGAGTTGGCACCAACTCGATGGCACTTACCACCACCAAACCCTTACAGAAGCAGATGGCCAGGTTCTTGTCCCTTGGAACAGCTGGTGACTCGGAAGCGCTGACTTTTCAGTTAGGAGCTGAGCACTTAACCATCTCACTGCCAGAGTGCATTGTTGTTAAGTGCTGTTGAGTCCATTCTGACTCCTAGTGACCCTGTTCAGGGTTTCTGAGGAGCAGCTGGTGGGTTTGAACCGCCGACTTTGTGTTTAGCAGTCTAGTACTCATCCTACAGTGCCACACCGTGGTCAGCTGGTGACTTTTAATAACTTTTGGCATCTTTAACAGACTCCAAAAGCCAAAGAATCCTCAGAATTTCAAATCTTGGTTTCAGACCCAGCCTCCCAGAACCTCAGTTCTCCCCATAGAGATTGTTGTTGGGTACCATCTAGTCCATTGACCCACTGTGCCCCCATGTGACAGTGTAGTGTCGCCCCCTACAGCTTTCTTGGTGCAATCTTCCTGGAGACAGAGTTCCAAGTCTTTCTCCCAAAGATCCCTGGGGGGATTTCCAACCGGGAACCTTTTGATTAGCAGCTGAGCACTTAACAGTTACACTACTATGTCTCCTTGGTATTAAGTGCTATTGAGTTACCACTCCTGTATAGGGCTTCCAAGGAGCAGCTGGTGAGTTTGAACCACCAACCTTGTGAAGGCTGTAAAAGTCAAGGTGGGGTGGGGTTGGGGGGCATTGTGGTGCCGAATGTGGTGGTATTGTAGGATAAGGATAAGCACAGGACTGCACCATAAAGTTGGCCATTGGAGCCCACCAACCATTCTGCAGGAGAAAAGATGAGGCTTTCTGCTCCCATAAAGATTTATAGCCTGGGAAACCCTGTACAGGGTCACTGTGAGTTGGAACCCACTTGACAGCACTTAACAATGACAAAAGCCAAGGAGGTCTCAGAATTTCTCATCTGAAACCTGAACCTTCCAGAGTCTCAGCTCTCCCCATCCTGAAATCAAGAATCTGGAATTCACAGTTGGACACTGGTAGCCCATTGGCCTAGCTAGGCTGGCAGGAGCCTGCCCCATCTTTCTTAGATTTCATTTGAAGCAGGAGGCACTGAGTGCAGGCTGGGCATTTGCCCCAGGCCCCACCACTCCCTATTGTCTCTGTCTCCTCATGCATGCCTGCCTGGACCCCAGGAATCTGAGTTTGTGATCCTGCCTGGGAGGACTGCCTTGGGGTTGGGGGTGTCTGAGGGCTGGGCTTCTGGCTAGACCATGTCCCCCAGGTTCACAATCTTCTCCTCGGTCCTCCCTACCCTGTCTTCCACCCACAGAGGCACAGCCCCGGGGTCGGATCCTAGGGAGCCAAGAGGCCAAGTCCCACACACGGCCCTACATGGCGTCGGTGCAGGTGAACGGCACACACGTGTGTGGCGGCTTTCTGGTAGCCGAACAGTGGGTGCTGAGCGCAGCGCACTGTCTAGAGGATGCGTGAGTGGTTCAGGGCCAGGCTGGGGGAGCGGGGCTGGGGGTGCGGAGGGGCCATGGCTCTGACTGTGGACCCCGCCCACCACTAGGGCCGGCGCCACGGTGCAGGTGCTCCTGGGCGCACACTCCCTGTCTCAGCCAGAGCCCTCCAAGGTCCTATATGACGTGAAACGCACTGTGCCCCACCCGGACAGCCGTCGTGACACCATTGACCATGACCTCCTCCTGCTGCAGGTCAGTCAGTGTAGCTGAGTGAGTCCACCTGTGTCCTACCCCCTTCCGGTCCCACCGAGTCTAGCCACAGTCTCTCCTGCTGCACGCACGCCACCCTGCCACCCCCTCGCGTCCTGACTCTCGCCAATGTCCCCCCAGCTGTCCAAGAAGGCCGTGGTGGGCCCAGTCGTGCAGACTTTGACCTGGCAGCGCGAGGACCGCGACGTGGCTCCCGGCACGCTCTGCGATGTGGTCGGCTGGGGCATGGTCAGACACACTGACCGCCTGCACCATGTGCTCGTGCCGGTGCTCAACCGCACTGTCTGCAACCAGCGCATCTATCACGACGGCGTCATCACCCAGCGCATGATGTGCGCGGAGAGCAAACGCCGGGACAGCTGCAAGGTGCGCGCTAGGGAGGGACCCGGACGTGGACGGTGCCTAAAGGAGATGGGAGGGGGCCTAAAGGACAGGGACGGGGCCTAAGGGAGAGTGACAAGGTCAGGAAGGCTGGGGCAGGGACTAAGTGAAGGCGGGGCAGGAGTTGAGGTGAGGCCGGGTCAGGAGGGATGGCATCTGGGATGGGCCCTGGGGCAGAGACCAAGGTGGGGGTCTGGGGAGAAAGAGCTCCTGAGTGGGAGAGGAGGTGGCCTTGTAGTCAAGGCGGCAGGGACTAAGATGGGGTGGAGCCCGACTTGGTGGGCGGGCATTTGGGTGGAGGAGGCGTGGTCTGAGGTTAGCCCTCTAAGAACCAGATTGGGATCAGAGGAAAGAAGTGAATTGCAGGGGCTGGCTGATGTGCAATTCTGGGGACAGGTAAGAAAGACCTGCACAGAAAGAGGGTCTGGACTTTGGGGAAAGGACTGTGAATGTAGTAGGGTGGCCCCCACCACTCACGCCCCGCTCTATGTAGGGTGACTCCGGGGGCCCGCTGGTATGCGAAGGCGTGGCCGAGGGCGTGGTTACCTCGGGCTCCCGCGTCTGTGGCAACCGCAAGAAGCCGGGGATCTACACGCGCCTGGCGAGCTACACGGCCTGGATCGATGGCGTCATGGCAGAGGCCGAGGTGGATTGAAGAGGACCCGGGGTTGGGTCGGTAATCACCACGGATGGGGAGGCCAGCAATAAAGTCATTCAGTCCTGCACCCAGTCAGCCTTTATTGAGCGTGCTGTATGTAGGGACCCGGGTGTAAGAGGTGGGGGAGGCGGGCACCCACATATAAAAGCGAAGCGCTTGCACTGGAAACTTTAAGAAACTGAGCTCCAGGCGGAGGCGTCCGCAGGGACCGAGCCGACCGGTGTCGTTCTGGGCTCCGTCCGCACGGTGGCGCCCTTACTCTTCCCGGGAAGGTGGAGAGGAACCCAGGCCTGCGTGGGGGTACCCCCACGGACACCTCCTCTTGTTAGGTGCTGTCAAGTCGGCTCCACTTATAGCGACCCGGTTTTTAGGGTTTCCCGAGAGTGTGCTGAGTTTGAACTACCGACTTGTGGGTTACCAGTCTAATGCTTACCCTACAGACCCACTCCAGGGCCCGCGACCATCCCTAGTCCTGTCCTAGTCCAGCTCCTCCTTTGCTTTCTAGGTGACACCTGAGGGCCTACTGTGTGCAAGACACTGCTCTGGGCTGAAATACAGGTGCAGAGACCCTCTGATGTCTGCTCTGACAGCCCATTTCCCAGACGGGTAGACTGAGGCTTAGAGACTCCTGAGCTCACACCGCTCCGTGGCAAAGCCGAGAAAAAAGCCAGAGCATACCCCCCAAGGTTCAAATAAAGTCAAATGAGGGAGGTTAATGAGCCTCAGTTTACCCTTCTGGGCAGTGACAGAGAAGGGAGGGGCAGAGGGTACAGCTCAGGCCAGAAGTGTCTGGCACCTTCTCCCACTGGATCCTGAGGCCCAGCACCTCCTAGGCACTTGATCCATGAAGAGGGCTTATGGCCCCGTTTGTAGAGACTGGGGACTCCGCCCACCCCTGCCCCAAGGTTCAGCCCTCACCCAGCAGACATCTGGTCTGTCCACCCCCTCTCCATGGTGCCTTCCAGAAGGAAAGACAGAGAATCAGTGGCCACCTCGCAGGCCTTTTATCCTTGGAGCTCACAGACCAGTGGCCGTAACTGAGAGAGGAAGACCATCCTGCCCACTGTGCCCACTGCAGGCACCCCTCCTTTTCAGATGCACACAGAGACCCAGAGCAGGATTGCAACCTGCAGGCGCAGGGGGGCACCAGTGATACCGACCCAGCCTCCTGAGTACATGCGTAGTTTACTGCACCGCCTGCCCACCCCTCAGTCCAACTGAACCCTGCCCGGTCCTGCCAGGTGACGAAACCAAGGCAGGCCTCCTGGGCCCTCTGAAACATGTCTTGATCTCTGAGACAAACGCTCGATATAGCCCTGGGGGTCTGGGACCCACTGGGCAGCCAGAGGCAGTCACGGTTTCCTCCCGGGAAAACTGGACGCCAATTAGATGACCTGTGTGTCCTCACCCACTGGGTCCAATTTCCCAGGTTCAGCCCCTTGTGTGACCTGACCACCACCTTTATGGCCAGCTGTTGTCTTGTGGTCAGTAGTGCCCAGACAAGTAGAGTGTTCTGTCACAGACATGGGATGCAGCGAGGAGGCAGCCTGCAGTAACATCCACCAAGAAGCCCCCTAGCAGCTCAGGGGTAGCTGAGCCGCATGCGCCTCCAGAGGCCCCCACACAAGCAGTTCTTGATCCAGCGCTGCTCCCACTGCTTCACTGCTGTCGTCTTGTTGGGCGACTTGAGCATGGTCACACAGCCACACCTGCGGGCAGGGTCAGTCCCTTACTGTCCCGCGAGTCTTCTCCACTCCCACATTCCCGGAGCCCACCCCAGCATGCTCCTGCTTACCCAGCCTCCTTCCACAGGGCCTCTGCACATGCTGTTCCCTGCACCACCCACCACCTGAGTTAACACCTCTCTTCATCTTCCAGTTGGCTCTGACCATGGAGGAATGACTGGAACCCTTAAATTTTGGCCCTAGCAGCGTGACTCCAGGGCTCTCTGGACCTTAGCTTTATTGGGTCATTCTGGAGCACACAGGGCCACATCTACCTGAGCCAGTGATGGAGGCTGTCCCAGACGAATGACAGGGAGGGCTCACCTGGTACAGGTCTTGCACTCCTCAGTGGGGTAGGCCCCCAGGTGCAACCGGCGGAGGTGGTCAATCTTTGGTTGGCCTGGTGCTCTGGGTGGACAGAGAGGACACTATGAGGTAGTCTGTGGCTGCTGAGGACCAGACCTGAGCAGGGCATCTACCCACCGCCCAGCAGTGTGTCCAGATGTAGTCAGTTAAGTTACATGAGACCGTGTGAGGGACCGGAGCCAATAACTGACCTCCTTCTAGGAGAAAGGTAGGTTTGGAAGAGAATCTTCCAGAAGGAGAGAGCCCAGCGTGAAGGAGGAGTCAGGCAGGTTTCGGGGCAGAACCTTCTAGAAGGAATGCACGCAGTGACACACACCTGGCAAGGCCATCAAGCTGCGAGGCGGCGGCACTGCTCGGCAGAGTGGGCGCCCGGCCAAAGTGCAGCCGCAAGGGTTGTTTCGGCTGCAGACGGCTAACGAGGCCATCGCTGACAGGTAGCCAGTCCAGGCTGGGGATGAGCAGCTGGCTGGGCAGCAGACAGCACTCATCCACCAGAGCCTCGTCCGGCTCGCTGGTGGGCCCCTCATCACGGCCTAGGGGAAGGGATGATGGGTAATCTGTGCTCAGACACCTGTGTGTCACTAAGGGGACACCAGGTCTAGACCCTGACCTGATGCAGTGACCTGAGAAGTCCCCTTCCCTCTGGTCTCAGCACCTCCTCTGTACAAAGGGACTCACTCATTCATTTAAGAGAGATCCCAGTACACCAGGGCCTGGGTCCTGCTGAGCTGTGTGACAAGAGGGAAACACACAATCGCCCAATCACACAGACATCTGACGAGACCCTTTCCACGCTGGGTCCCTAGCTGGGCTCTGGGAAAGCAGTAGAACCTACACAGTGGGGGCTTATGTTCTGGCGGGAGGACCAGCAGGACTTGTGTTTTGGTGGAGGGACAGACAGGAGCAGCTTACAGCAGATCCAGAGCTTGGTGAGCAGACGGAAGAGCAGGGACATGCTGTCCTGGGTGTCTGAGGTGGCTGTGTACACAGGCAGGCAGCTGGGTTTCAGCAGACCCCAGATGCGGATGACCACCATGAGCTCCCGGAGAATGCCCAGTGAGGTGCCATCCCGCAGGAAACTGTGGCCTGGACGCAGCGGGGAGCCCTGAAGATGCGGGAGGAGTGGCTCAGTTTCAGATGTGGGGAACGTCCCAGACCTTCAAGTCCGACGATGGGGAGGCGCAGTCTATTGAAGAACAGTGGAATCCCCTGACCCAGGGAGGGGTGATTTTGTCCCCAGGGGACACTGGGAGCTGTCTGGGGCCCGGGGTCAGGGATGCGGAGGTAGACCCTAACGACAGTGAACTTGCACATGGGCACCCAGGAAACAGGAGCTTGGGGGCTTCAGGGTGCACAATCCAGAAGGCCTACAGAATAGCCAGGATCCGGAGTCCTGGTGGCACAGTGGGTTAAGCTAACTACAAGGTGGGTGGTTCAAACCCAGCATCCGCTCCAAAGAAGAGGCGGCTGACTGCGCCAATAAAGATTTAGTCTCAGTGGTCACTGAATCGGAACTGACTCCAAGCTGAGGTTCTCCTGATCCCTAAGGCGGCTCACAACTTGAAGGCAGGCAGGGGGAGGGGCGTGGCCGGGTGGGCGTGGCCAGAGTAATTGCAAGCCTGAAGTCAAGATGGGAGCTAGCGGGCAGATGGGCGGCTGCGCACCTGGTTGGGCAGGCTGGCCAGCAGGTAGAGGACGAAATCGCCCACCCACTGCAGGAGCTGCTGGAGCGCCTGGAGTGTGTTCATGTCCAGGACAAACTCTTCTGTCTTCAGGTTAATCATCACCTTATCAATGTCTGGGGGGATGAGCAGTCAGCGGCTGGATCAGGACCCCATGTGCACACCCACATATATGCATGCACACCCTGTGCACGCATGCACACAAGCACACACACGCACACGCACGCTTGCGCCAGCTCTCAGTCCTGGACACAGTATTACCCAGCCTACAAAGTGAGGGGCGTCCAAGTCCCCCGCTACCCGCGTTTGGGGGAGCAGGAGGAAAGGCAGATGGAAAGGTCAGGGTGGTGTGGGTCAGAGGTGGGAGCAGGTGAGTGGCATGGGTCAGTGGCAGGGCAGGCACCCACCGACGTCGGCGATCTTGGAGCAGATCTCGGTCAGCCGGTCCCCAGGGCTCTTGTCGGGGGTGTTGAGGTAGTGGGGACGCAGCAGCGACCTGAGAGTAGAGCTGACGGCGATGAGGAAGAGCTTGGCGTGGTAGTCACACACACGCGTCACCGTGCACGGCGACAGTTTGCACAGCGAGGCCTTCATGGCCAGGATCCGCGTGGACAGCACCTGGGAGCGGACAGCGTCAAGCACACACCCAAACATAAAAAGGGAGGAGACGCGGCAGGCGGGTGGGGCGGGGCTGTGGGCGGGGCTGTGGGCGGGGCTCGGGCCCAGGCATCACCTGTTGCAGCGCAGCGCTCTGGCGCGTGTACTCCTCGTGCAACTTCTCCACCAGGCTCTGCACCATGGCAGGCTGCACGTGCAGCAGGATGTCCCACCAGTCGTAGCCCGTCACCATGCAGTACTCCAGCAGGAAGAGCAAGTGCCGCAGGGCCAGCGGCACGTCCAGCGCATGGCCCATGGAGGGCGAGATGCGCAGCATGTTCAGCTGGGGGTGGGGGAAAACGGGAGAGTGAGGTCCTGCGGACGAGGGCACTGGTGTGAGCGGGGCTCCTAGGGCTCTTGGTGGAGACTATATGGAGGAGAGACGAGCCGAGGTCTGTGGCAGGGGGGCACAGGTTTGAATGGGGTGTTCTGTGGGGGCCCTCGGGGGTGCCTGCGCGAGTGCTGATGGGAACACGGCTGGAAGCCGTCTCCTGCTCACCCTTATTAGGTGGCCTTATAAACGCATCCTCACACACGATTACGAAAGGGAGCCGCCCTGTGGTGGTTGTGCACCAGGACAGTGGCTGGTGAGGCTGCACTGCCCAGGAGGTATTGTTGTTAAGTGCGGTCGAGTCGGTTCCGACCCATAGCGACCCTGTATAGGGTTTCCGAGGAGCAGCTGGTGAGCTTGAACCACCAACCTCACAGTTCAAATGACTTTGAAGTCCGGGGCATTAACCCACAGTGCCACACCAGGACTCCACGGGTAGGAAGGCTGAAATGGCAAACAGTCCCAGCTACCCTGACAGCCGCTCTTCAGAGGATCTATGAAAACCAACCCCCAACAGCCGCACCTCGCCAGCACCTAGTACGTACCACAGAGCCCCCTTAGAGAGAGGAGGCAGGAAGCCTGGACTCAGCGGTCGAGTCCCTGCAGGAACACCAGGTTGGTGAGCACCCAGAGGGCCCTTCCTGCTTACTGTGTGCTGGTCACCTCGGTTCTCACTGGGAGGCCCAGGGCAGTGCTTACCTTGCCATGGTTGTCAATGCCCACAAGGGCCAAGGAGGTCCAGGAGAGTTGCATGGCCTTGAAGTGGACGGCGGGGACCGTGCTTCGTGGGCGCTTGATGGCTGGCTCGTCCATGGACCGTGGGGCTGCGGAGCTGTAGAAGACGGCCATGGTCTGCAGGGAGAGGCGGTGCACGATGTGGACACTGCCGTCGTGGAAGGCCAGGGCTAGCCCTGGGTAGGGGACACATGGAGGTTACGGTGCAGAAAGGTATGGCTGCTGACATGCAGCAGGCTGCCGACTGCCAACCCACCCGAGCCCACCACCCTGGGGAGAGGGGGTGTCCAGCCAGTAACCCATACTCCCTTGCTGCTGAGGTGACGCGGTTGAAGTGGGGAGGGTCTTCCCCTCAGAGGGGATATCACATGCCGGGAACCCTCAAACATCCAGGACCCCAACCAAAGGGAAGAGCCCAGAGACAAGTTTCCCAAGGTCAACTGCCAGCCTCCAGCTGTTTCTTAACGAAGGCAAATAATCTGCAGAATGCCAGGGCGTGCGGACAAACTAACACGGGCCTTGGAGGGGAGAACCGTGGGAACAAGGGTTCCCACCGACCCCTCGCGGGCCGCACTGGGCTCTCAGATGGCTGCGCTGGCTCCACCTTCAGCATCCTGTGAGCTGGTGACTGGCCCACTTCAGTGCCGGACAGCCGGTTCAGGGTTCCACCTCCCTGTTCCCACATTCTCACTCCTTATACGGAAGGAGAATGGCTTCATGTTGACCAGTCTCACGGCCCTGCCAGCTCTTCAGACCCCAACTTGACCCCTGCCCGGCCTGTACACAGAGCCCACTTCCCCAAACCGCCCGGCACGTGGTCATACCGAGGCCTGGGTAGAACTGGGTATCACTGGCCACCTTGAGGTCGGTGTTGGTGAGCGAGATGGGCAACTTAGGCAGTGCCACGGCCGACACCCGGTCTAGGTCATTGGTGGCCGACAGGATTCGCCACTTGAGGATCATGGGCTGTTTGTCGCCAACTGAAACCAGGATGAGAGTGAATGCAGCAAAGTGACCCAACGCAGCCCGGCTGGCCCCGGTTCAGAGCTGGGAGGTACAGGGCAGGCAGGTCAGTCAGGACAGGGCAGCAAACGGCTTGGGGGCCACAGGAGAGGACTAGGAGAAATCCAGGCAGGAGGCGGGGGAGCCAAGGACAGGAGGACCTTCATGACTGCCCTACCACAATGGGCTGTTTACGTAACTGTCTGGCCACTCCGCTGCCAGCCTCTGACACAGTTTCATTAGTGGCTTTCCATTAGTGCCCTCCAGAATGTTCTGAGCACTTCTGGGCCTGTTAACGCAGACCCGCAAAAAAGGGGCTTCTGGGAAAGCACGTGGGGTCATCTACACACACACATACACACACATACATACATACACACACACACAGAGGCACACATACATACACAGAGAGACACACACACATACACACAGAGACATACACATATACACCTACACACACAGACACAGATATACACATACACACATACATACACACACACACACAGAGACACACATACACACAGACATACACATACACACACACACACAGACATACATATACACAGAGACATACACATACACACAGACACACACACACACACCTACACACAGAGACACAGATATACACACACATACATACACACACACAGAGACACACATACATACACACAGAGACACACACACATATACACAAAGAGGCATACACATACAAACACACACACATACACAGACATACACACAAACACATACATACACACACATATATATACACACACACACCCCACCCCCCTCCAGGGGGGACTGAAAACCAAGTGGCTTTCTGACAGCGCCTGTATGGGGGGGCCAGGCCCAGCCATCAGAGACTCCCTGGGCTCCACGTGGGGAAGACGGAGCGGGGTGTGGTGGCCGGGGCAGCCATCTGTGCTCCCCGGGCCTCAGCTTCCCCACTCCAACCGCTCACTGGGTGTCTGGGGGGGCGGGACGAAGGTGGACGGGGCCATGTGCATGAAGCGCTGGGAGCATCTCACTGAGAGCGTGCAGGAAGCCAGGGGCTGAGCTAAAGCAGGGGCACGAGGCAGGCAAGCCGGGCCTTACCCACGGGTGAGATCTGCTGGAAGATGTTGTTCACGGGGAGACCCTCCTTACGCAGCGACCAGCATTCAACCAGACTGTGGGTCTGGCTCGAGGCACAGAGCAGCACCTATGGGGCGAGCAGGAGGTGGGGCAGAAGGGGAGTGATGTGACTTCATGCCTGGTCTCCAAGACACACACACCTGGTCCCTGGGGCCCAGTCCCCACACTGACCTGCTCAGACATGTCTCGGGCCAAGAACTTGAGGTGGGTGATGGCGGGGAACTTGTCCTTGCGGTTGAGGTCGGTGGTGCAGCGCATGAAAAGCGATGGTAGTATCTCGGTGTCTATGCGGCACTTCTCACTGACCACGCTCACACACACCTTGTAGAACTGCACAGGTGAGGCACTGCTGCCGTCCGCCGTGGCCACCACGATGTTGCCGCCCCCCGTGAAGGCAATGTCGGCCAGGGCCACGCGGCTGCGCAGCCGGCACAGGCTCTCGGTTGACGTCAGCACCTGGCCACTGGGCTTGAGCAGGGACACAGTGACTAGGCCGCTGACCGTCACGGCGATCCAGCCCTCCATGGGCTTGCCACCAAACAGCGTGAGCGACGGCGAGAACTTGACACGGGAGAACTTCTCACCGAAGCTGGAGGCGGCCGACTGCAACAAGGGAGGGATCAAAGGTGATGGTGGCTCTAGCAGGAGTGTATCGGACACAGTGAGCCCACCAGCCTTTAGGACTCCCAAAGGCCCGTGGACAGTGCTGTGTGGGCTGGGCCTCTCGCTCTCCTCACCTGAAGCTCGGGAAACTTGCTGTAAACACCAGAGGAGGAACGTTTTTGGCTTTGTAAGCCAGACCATCTCTGTAACGTCTATTTCCCTTTGCTTTTGCGCACCAGGAGCAGCAGGCCCAGCCGGTACACAAGCCCCCTGGGCCCCTGCAGTTTCTGAGCTGCCAGAGAATGTCTCTGTTTACCTCCTGAGCTGATACAAGACACCTCGATGATGTGATTCTACAAGTCGTGATGCTGGGAAATGTCCTTGCTGTTCGCCCAGGAGAGCAAACGACGGGTATCTTATGTTAGACTTTTAAAAAAGAAGTCTTTATAACATGAAAGAGATCACACAGCAAGCCAGGTGGTGCCAGTGGTTACCATGGAGACATGCGTCTGACACCAACACTGCCCGCTTCTGTCTGGTGAAAGGTGTTGTAAATGAGCACAGGTGTCTTAAGGAACAAAGCTCTGACCCAGGGTACAATGCGGATGAACCTTGAACCAGAGGATGAACCAGAGAAGTCACACAGTATAAGGGGGTCATTTATAGGAAACACCTGAACGAGGCAAGTCTAGGCAGTGGGCGAGCAGCTGCTGATGGGATGCTGGGGGCATGGAAGGTTCTAGAACAGTGCTAATGGCTACGCAACTTGGTTAACGATGTGAGACACCCAAGTTTGACACAGTGTGAAACACCTCTCAATAAAGGCACACAGAAATGATAAAAAACAGAGGGGACCACAGCGTGGGGTCATTCCCCGAGCTAATGCCGTGTGAGCTGCAACCACCTCCAGATCACGTGCTGCCAGCAGCTACCCTAAGCCCTGTGATGGAATCAAGGGAAACACGCAAGCAGGGAAAAGACCCCAGCCCAGACAGGCCACTAGGGGTGGGGGTGCTGGACAGACAAGGACGGAGGGCTCAGTCAGGGAGGGACAGAAAGAACGCTCCAGAGACAGGCAGAGTCTTGAGTGGTGATAACTGCAGCCCCCAGCTGACCTGCCCACACTGACTTGAGCCTAACCCTCACCGTGATTGTCATAAAGCTCACCTGAAGATGAGGAGAGTGACCCACGGGGCAAGAAGCCAAGACCCTGGCAGCTCTCCCTCTTCACTGTGTGATGGGTACAGGAAGAATAATTGTGGGCTATTACTGGATCACAGCCACCACTCGTCTGTCAGTGTGTCGTACTGTGGTGGCTTGTGAGTTGCTGTGATTCTGAAAGCTATGCCACCGGTATTTTAAATACCAGCAGGGTCACCCATGGTGGACAGGTTTCAGATGAGCTTCCAGACAAAGACAGACTAGGAAGAAAGAGTGATGGACTACTTCCAGATATTTAGTCACTGAAAACCTTTACACTGTCAGATATAGTGCCAGAAAACGAGCCCCTCAGGTTGGAAGGCACTCAAAATGTGACCGGGAAAGAGCTGCCTCCTCAAAGTAGAGTTGACCGTGATGATGTGAATGGAGTAAAGCCCGTGGGAGAAAACCTCACGGGACCTTCATTTGCTGATGGGGCACAATTCAAAATGAAGAGAAACAGCTGCTGCAAAATCCATTGTAAATTGGAACATGGAATGTACGAAGTATGAATCTGGGAAAGTTGGAAGTTGTCAAAAATGAAATGGAACACATAAACATTAGGCATTAGTGAGCTGAAATGCACTATTTCATTTGGTAATTCAAAATGGTAGTGGCCATTTTTAATCTGACAACCACATGGTTTACTATGCAGGGAATGACAAACTGAAGAGGAATGGTGTTGCATTCATTGTCAAAAAGAGCATATCCAGATCAGTCATGTGGTACAATGCTATAAGTGATAGGATAATGTCCATGCGCCTACAGGGAAGCCCAGTTAAT